ATTAAGTTTCTCCAATCTTCTCAAAACTCTGGATTATGATAGAGGGCTGTGAGACTTTGACCTGAGTGCAAAAATGGAGGCTCTACACCCTTCCAGAGCTGAGATATCAAAATTCAAAATTTCGACCCGAAAAAAAAAAACGACAGTGTTACCCCTTTTGTTTTTTTTCATTTTCGGGCAAAAAATTAAGTTTCTCCAATCTTCTCAAAACTCTGGATTATGATAGAGGGTTGTGAGACTTTGACCTGAGTGCAAAAATGGAGGCTCTAGACCCTTCCAGAGCTGAGATATCGAAACTCAAAATTTCGACCCGAAAAAAAAACGACAGTGTTACCCCTTTAGTTTTTTTTCATTTTCGGGCAAAAAATTAAGTTTCTCCAATCTTCTCAAAACTCTGGATTATGATAGAGGGCTGTGAGACTTTGACCTGAGTGCAAAAATGGAGGCTCTAGACCCTTCCAGAGCTGAGATATCGAAAGTCAAATTTTCGACCCGAAAAAAAAAACGACAGTGTTACCCCTTTTGTTTTTTTTCATTTTCGGGCAAAAAATTAAGTTTCTCCAATCTTCTCAAAACTCTGGATTATGATAGAGGGCTGTGAGACTTTGACCTGAGTGCAAAAATGGAGGCTCTACACCCTTCCAGAGCTGAGATATCAAAATTCAAAATTTCGACCCGAAAAAAAAACGACAGTGTTACCCCTTTTGTTTTTTTTCATTTTCGGGCAAAAAATTAAGTTTCTCCAATCTACTCAAAACTCTGGATTATGATAGAGGGCTGTGAGACTTTGACCTGAGTGCAAAAATGGAGGCTCTACACCCTTCCAGAGCTGAGATATCAAAATTCAAAATTTCGACCCGAAAAAAAAAAAACGACAGTGTTACCCCTTTTGTTTTTTTTCATTTTCGGGCGAAAAATTAAGTTTCTCCAATCTTCTCAAAACTCTGGATTATGATAGAGGGCTGTGAGACTTTGACCTGAGTGCAAAAATGGAGGCTCTAGACCCTTCCAGAGCTGAGATATCGAAACTCAAAATTTCGACCCAAAAAAAAAACGACAGTGTTACCCCTTTCGTTTTTTTTCATTTTCGGGCGAAAAATTAAGTTTCTCCAATCTTCTCAAAACTCTGGATTCTGATAGAGGGCCATGAGACTTAAACCTGAGTGCAAAAATGGAGGCTCTAGACCCTTCCAGAGCTGAGATATCGAAACTCAAAAATTCGACCCCAAAAAAAAAAAACGACAGTGTTACCCCTTTCGTTTTTTTTTTTTGGGCGAAAAATAAAGTTTCTCCAATCTTCTCAAAACTCTGGATTCTGATAGAGGGCCATGAGACTTAAACCTGAGTGCAAAAATGGAGGCTCTAGACCCTTCCAGAGCTGAGATATCGAAACTCAAAATTTCGACCCAAAAAAAAAAACCGACAGTGTTACCCCTTTCGTTTTTTTTCATTTTCGGGCGAAAAATTAAGTTTCTCCAATCTACTCAAAACTCTGGATTCTGATAGAGGGCCATGAGACTTAAACCTGAGTGCAAAAATGGAGGCTCTAGACCCTTCCAGAGCTGAGATATCGAAACTCAAAAATTCGACCCCAAAAAAAAAAAACGACAGTGTTACCCCTTTCGTTTTTTTTTTTTGGGCGAAAAATAAAGTTTCTCCAATCTTTTTAAAACTCTGGATTCTGATAGAGGGCCATGACACTTAAACCCGAGTGCAAAAATGGAGGCTCTAGACCCTTCCAAAGCTGAGATTTCGAAACTCAAAATTTCGACCCGAAAAAAAAAACGACAGTGGTACCCCTTTCTTTTTTTTTTTTTTTTCGGTTGAAAAATTAAGTTTCTCCAATCTTCTCAAAACTCTGGATTCTGATAGAGGGCCATGAGACTTAAACCTGAGTGCAAAATGGAGGCACTAGACCCTTCCAGAGCTGAGATATCGAAACTCAAAATTTCGACCCCCAAAAAAACCCCGACAGTAGTACCCCTTTCGTTTAGTTTTTTTTTCGGGCGAAAAATGAAGTTTCTCCAATCTTCTCAAAACTCTGGATTCTGATAGAGGACCATGGGACTTTGACCTGAGTGCAAAAATTGAGGCTCTAGACCCTTCCAGAGCTAGGATATTGAGATATTTATAATGGCATAAATGCTACGATGCATTTCAATATCTCAGCTCTGGAAGGGTTTAGAGCCTCCATTTTTGCACTCAGGTCTAAGTCCCATGGTCCTCTATCAGAATCCAGAGTTTCAAGAAGATCAGAGAAACTCAAAATAAAAAAAAAGAGTGTTACCCCTGTCGTTTTTTTTTTGTTGTTTTTTTTGTGTGAAAAAATAAGTTTCTCCAATCTTCTTGAAACTCTGGATTCTGATAGAGGGCCATGAGACTTAGACCTGAGTGCAAAAATGGAGGCTGTAGTTTAAAAGTTACTTATAGTTAGTAGAATGTCTAAAGTGGACTATCGAAATAAAGTGTTACTGAGGTTTTTTTTTATATAATTACTAGATGCAGAGCTTTACTGGCATTTGATTGGATGACAAACATCCAATCTCATGGACTGCAGGCTTTAAACTAGGTGAAATGCTCCAGAAGTTAAAAAAGGGGGGCTGACATGTGATGTCCATTGTAATGGAAACAGGGTCTGAATGGGTTAACCTCCAGTGTATGACTGATAGACAACAACGGTTTGACCAAAATAAAATCAAAATTGAAAATACTGTGGGAACAAAGACACCTAAATTTTGGATGCCCTTGAGGTAAGCTAAAACATATCAAAAAATAATTTCAAAGTGAATTAAAGCTGCAAGCAGCGATGGGCGGGCCCTCGCACCTGTAGCGCGTCGGGGTGTGAGGCGGCCGCATTGCAAATTCTGGAGCTCAGCCGGTGCGGCTGTGAATTTGCTACGCTTCATTAAAGGTCACTTCCTGTTGCCAGCAGGTGGCGCTATGACTGTGGGTGAATGTCGGTATGTAGATTTGTTCAGGGCGGGACTCTTGTCAAATGTGTTAAATTTCGTGCAGATCTGGGCATTTACAGCCAAGTTACTACAACTTCCTGTTTCATGGCGAATCATCGACGCCACGGACACGCCCATCGACGAAAATGCACAGATAGCACAACTTTACATCGTCAATGCCTTTAGAAGGTACAGCAGAAATTTGAAGTTGATCCGACTAAATCCCTAGGAGGAGTTCGTTAAAGTACGGAGTGTGTAAATCGTCCCAAAATGGCCTCCAAATTCAAAATGGCGGACTTCCTGTCAAGTTTAGGGCATCGCTCCAAGAGGCTTTTTTGTGCGTCTGGTCATAGTAGATGTACCACAGAAGTTTTGTACATGTTGGTCAAACAAGCGGCGTGGGCTGCTTCGTTTAAGGTCACTTCCTGTTGCCAGCAGGTGGCGCTATGACTGTGGGTGAATGTCAGCATGTAGATTTGTTCAGGGTGGGACTCTTGTCAAATGTGTAAAATTTGGTGCAGATCTGGGCATTTACAGCCAAGTTACTACAACTTCCTGTTTCATGGCGAATCATCGACGCCACGGACACGCCCATCGACGAAAACGCGCAGATAGCACAACTTTACATCGTCAATGCCTTTAGAAGGCACTGCAGAAATTTGAAGTCGATCCGACTAAATCCCTAGGAGGAGTTCGTTAAAGTACGGAGTGTGTAAATCGTCCAAAAATGGCCGCCAAATTCAAAATGGCGAACTTCCTGTCGAGTTTATGGTATGGGTTCTTGAGGCTTTTTTGTGCGTCTTGATATGATACACGTCCCCACCAAATTTCGTGCATGTAGGTTGCACGTGGACGAGGGGCTAATTTTTTCCAATTTTCTAGGTGGCGCTAGCGTGCCATTTTGCCACGCCCATCCGCGAAACCCACAAAATACAAAATTTTTCACCAGTCCTGACATGCGTGCCAAATTTGGAGAGTTTTTGAGCATGTTGCGGCCCTGAAAATGGCGCTTACTTTGCAGAAAAAAGAAAAAAAAAAATAATCCTTACAGTTTCAATAGGGTCCTCGCACTGTTAGTGCTCGGGCCCTAACTATCCCTTTAAACATACATAAACAACATTAAAATCTTGATTTTCACCGCAGGGGGTCCTTTAACTTATAGTGCAAATCTAGCCTGAAAGGGTTGAAAATGGATGTCACTTAGCAAAGGACGGCTAGTTTGTAGTAATTTGCTAACAGGGTTGAAAGGCTGAGAATGTAGCCAACACTATCATTTATGTATAAATTGAGAAACTGGAATGCGAGGATTTGCTTGTACTCACCTCACGTGATGCCATGATGTTGAAAAGTTGATGACTTTTATGGTTATGTAATTTTAAAGAATGCTCCTTTTTTTTAAATGGACAAACATACAGTAACAGATGCCTGCAAAATGTGGGACAGCTAAATAACTCATGATAATTAAAACATTTGTACTACAAAGAACAGAAAATTGATGTATGATTTGAACTGGTTGCCTATAGTTGAGGTCAAGATCTCCGAGAGGGCACAGGGCAAAACGACCATTTAAAGGAGGGGATTTGGGGACAGTTCCACAGCCTCTTTGAATATTTACAATCCCTGCCAGTGTATTTGATCAAATGCAAATGTAAAGCTAATGCTGAGAATTTCCATTCAATTATGGAGCAGCAAAGTATCATCTCTAATATATCTGAAGCAGCGAGACTTTGACAGCTCACTCGTAATCCCATTTTCGACTGCGTCTGTTCTGAAGAGGCTCTGGATCAAAGCTCTCGCCGAGCTGAGGAAGTTGTCACGATGTTGTATATCTTTATCCGCTTGCTGATAAGGACATAATGTATTTAATCTGGCCCGTTGTCAAACACGTTGAAATGTTTTACAATAGCACACTATGCTATGATAAAACAAATGTACATTATATTGCTAAAGTGTTATGCCAACAGTACTAGGATACACAAATAACTCAAATGTAAAAAAAAAAACGATGGGTTTTTAACAAAAAACACTACCATTTCACTCAACAACTGATTTACAGGTAGTCATTGTCATTTTACCATTTAATTATAGACAAAATGTTCTATGTCATTCTTGTATGTACACATAATTACAAGGTCAGTTTAAATTTTCAGGTTTTTTCTTTAAAGTAGGCAGCTAGATTAAAGTTTGTTCATGACATTCGCCATCTTACATACAAAAGAAGCTGCAATGCAGTCACATTTCAAAAGCCTGGGACACTCTTCCCTCCAAGTGCAGTAAGTTGCTTAACAGAGACGGCATTCACATCACCGTCCATCACTATGTACAAAAAAAAAACTTGAGTGCACTTGCTGCTACATTATACATATTAACAAACTACAGACTCCATATCTACAGTATCACTGTATATAGATGGTGCAGTCGGTGTGCGAGGAGTACTGTTTGAGGCTTACAGAGAAAAGCATTGTGAGAATTAGCTTCCATCTGAAGGAAGAGAGACCAGCTCCTTTCATTAGACCACTTTGCGTGTAGGTGTGAGTGCGGTTTTCCCTTTTGGGCCCTAAAAGATCGAGAAATGGCTGTCGCAGGACACGAGCTTTCCATTGAGATCACGGACAGATTAATGACATCCTGTTTAGGCTGTCGGAACTAGAAGTTTTGTTCTGGTCTAGCGACCTGTGTCCCTTTTTTCAGTTCTTGGTGCACCAAGAACCGGCAAGCAGGTCATCTGTGCAGTCTCGAAACAGGATAATGAAAGATGTAATGACTGCGCCGTTACACACACTTACACCGGTTTAGATTTCATAATGTCACATTTGCTCACTCTATCTCTGACCTTTCCTTTGCACAAAGCAATGCACTCCATATCCTGGAGAATACCCCCGGTATCCCACGCAGGTCCAGGTTTGTCCATTTGTGTATGCAGATAATCCTTCGCCAGCCCAAAATGACATTTTGAGAAACCCAAACAAGGTCCTTGCTCACTGCTGCCTGCCTGCAGTCTCCTTATATTTCTCCTTTCCTGGAAAAGTGCATGAGAAATGGGCTGAGATTTCAGATAAGAGAGAAGTGAGAGGAAGTAAATGATAAAAGCAGAAGCAGCAGCACTATCATTACAGCAAACATAAACACTCATGTCTCGGATCATACGGGAAAGGAGGTGATTCAAAAGAGAATGGAAAGATGTGAAAAAGCTCAAATGTAGAGAGACGTCACAGATGACCTGTAAAGTCAAACGCTTGTAAACATACCGGGTCGTCGTGTTTTATTCCAGAGATGTGGCGCACCGACCGCACGCCAAATAAGAGACATGATTAATTATTATTAAGAGATAAAAGCAATTTGAGTTGACAGAATTACTACCGCCATGATTTAAGAGACAAAGACGTGGAATATGCCTCTAAAGCACCCCCTGTACTGTATGTGTGTTTGTGTTATAGCCATGCAGCCAAAGAGCCTCTCTAGAAGGGAAGTGTTTGTGTGTTGCCTTCAACAGAGATGCAGCAGTGCAAGGATTCCTCCTCCTGATTGCAAAAATGGAATAAAATAACTGAAATAAGTTAAATATCATAAAGTGGCCCAGGATAAGTCTTATCATTCAGGGTCACATAGGAGTTCATTTCCTGTAGTGTTCCAAAAGAGGTCCAGTTTCTCCATTCAGAGTCCAGTTGGCTGCTCCTATGAATGTGACCCAGCCATAAGCGCGTGTTCCTGTGACTCCGAGGTCAGAGGACGAGGGGTAAATGTCAGATGCAAGTGGCGGGTTGTGCTAATGGCTGCTGTTTGCGGCTACGCATGCCTCCCGACTTCTCCTTGTATCCCAGACACATCTGCTGAGAGACGTCCACCAATGCACTACCTACTGCCATACCTGAGAAGAGAGAGGACAAAGAGGCGTTTCTGACCGTCATTATAATGGCCTCGGGAGCAGAAGGTGTAGAAGTGTTCAGTGTGGGGGCAAATTGCATTGACTCGCCAACTCACCCGACTGTCCTGGAGGTGGAATGCCGCCGGGGCTTCTGGGTAATCTAACGAAGATGGAGAGCACCGCTGCCTTGTTCCCAAAACAGGGCTCCAAGGCTATGGGCTTAGGCACAGACTGTGAGAAAGGAGAGGAAAAGGTTACAAAAATGTTTGAGGAAATGCTTTGATTTTGTTATTTTGCCCCATTTAATAGAAAAGTTCTTACACATTATATAATAAGTATAGTAAAATGAGTGAAAACTTTTCAAATTTAAAACTATCTTTCAAAAGTCAGGGGGTGTATAGAGCGAGAGAGACATATTTCAATTTAAAGTAACTTTTCTATTTTAATATATTTGAAAAGTCATTTATTCCTTTAATGGAAAAGCTAAATTTGTAAATTTAAGTTTCAAATTTCTAAAACTTGATTCTAACGGGCTGTTTACACAACACCGTTTTCAACAAAAAGCGCCGTTTTGGGTGGCTGAAAAGGCAAACTTTTGAAAAAGAGTTTCAAAGTGAAAGTTTTTGATAGCGGTATTCATGTAAACAGCAAAACTGTGTATATTGTTTCATCGCCATCTAATGGCCTGGCGGCAAAACAGCGTTTTTCGCAGATCCGTGTGAATGGAGATTGTTCTGACAATGTTGTTTGTCTGTACGTCGAAAACTCAAAGGAAAAACTTCTCAGTTTTAAGCATATCGTTGTCATGTAAATTGTAAATGTACCCTAAATCTTGTCACATTCAAAAATAGCTGATATATTCACTCATGAATCATTTGTATCTTATATTGCTGCATTATACACTCATCCCCTTAACATCTCAACAGTGGTAAAATCACTGCACCAAATAGCATTTTGTAGGAAATACTTTGATAAACCATGTCAATTTTACATATACCAGTGAATTGGAATGACTGGTGTGTTCCAAGGCACTAAACTTGCGCAAAAAAAAACATGGTGTTTTTTTTCTGTAAGTATTGTATGTTAATACACGTGCGGGTGCAGGGCTGAAAGCACATGACCTTCTGTTTTGGAACACATGCACAAATCATATTCCAGCTTTGACCCATTTCACACTCATTTTGCCCTTAGTCCCAAGACCTGCATAAACTTTTACACACACACACTTGGTCTTTTTGCTTAACTGCCGAGTTTCCCTAGTGTGTGCAGTGTGTATGTGTGGTATTACTGTGTATGCATCAAAAAGACTGTTCAATGACTGAGTGTTTGTGTGCTTACTGCGGCTCTTCTACCCCCATTCACACATCCTCCCCTCTGTACAGCGCGCTTGCATATTCATTCCTCCTTTTCTTTATATATTCTTCTCTTTAAACCACTTCTTATCCTACAGAGACCAGTTCACCCCCTCACTCCTCTCTATCTCCCTCTCTCCTCCTGGCACTTTCCCACTGTCAATTCAGAGCAGGGGGGAACACCATTTATCTTTAACACCATACACACCTACTCTTTCAAGCACACAAAAAGAAGAAACTCCTAAAAAATTCAATTACAGCCGCTGAGAGCAACGGCATGAGTTATTGCTGTATGTATGTATGTATGTATGTGTGTGTGTATCTATACATACAAAAACACATGCACATAGATACACATATCTATATATATATCTATTTCTGTATATCTCTATCTGTTTTTGTATATGTATGTGTGTGTGTGTGTATATATATATTTACACGTGTATGTTTTTGTATATGTGATTATTACGTTTCTGCTCAGGTGATTATCTGAGGCAAGCAGAAGACAGGTTCTGTTTAATTAACTCTTATAATTTAAAAAAAAAAAAAACGAGAGCGACAGCGAGTGAGTGAAAAGGTAGAGGTATACTGAGTGTGTCAGAGGCCACACACTATAGCACTGAATGCTCTGATGTTCACTTCAGTTCATGCGCTTCATTCTTGTTTAGTCGTGTTTACTTTAGTTTCACACCCTCAGGGCCCTCTATGAGATTTGTGAGAAATAACTGCATTTATAGCTTTTTGCTATCAAGGACGGCTGGATTGTAATTACGTTTAGACCTTGATAGTGAGCATAGGACATTGATGGAGCAGGAGTGAGAACTCAGCAAACAGGTAAATCTAAAATCAGATCTTGACTCTAGGGTTGTCATTATCGTGTTAGGACAACAAACACTACGAAACAATAATTACAAACCAGCAATTCTTGAAATCAAATCCAGCTGTAATACTATGGAATGCAGTTATTAGTTACAAATCTCATAGAGTCGTCAAGAAGCCTTGAAACTAAAGTAAACAATTAAAGAAAGCTTCATCTAACTAAACACCGGAAGTGTTCTTGCCGTTAAAAAACATGAGGCACAGGTTAGTGGATGGTTGAAGCACGGTCGAGATGCGTCAAACTTTTTTGAACTTGAGCACCACATTTTTAAAATGACAGCAAGACACTGCAAAAGATGCAAGCATGATGGTTAAAGCTGTCTATCTAGTATATGGCAGCACAGTGGAATAGAAAAACGTGTTCAGGGTGAATGGCCCCTAAGAGTGTTCAGACATGTAGACTTCATATTGCTTTCACAAAGCAACATATCTAAAATAACCCAAATTTGTCATGGGCGAGTAAACTGTCCTCTCAGTGATTAGAGCGCATCGGTTTATTTTCCGGGATTCCAGAAGGATAGAAAACGGCTCTGCAGGCTTATAGTGGCTTTCTTTGTTCTTTGTCATTATATGATTTAATATTGTACTTTATTATATAATTTTGAGCAGGATACATAGCTACATGGTAAGAATGTTTCCCAGACGAAGCTATTTCGAATAATTTCCGAATCATATCATTTTAAAAATAAAAAGGTGTGATTTGGCTTTCGATGACGATGGCCTGCTCCCCCATCAATACATTATGATGCAGCCTGGTCCGTTGGGTCGGATTGCTTCTCGCAACAAGCAAACTGCTTAAGAGTTGGTTTTCACACCTCGTTCAGGTGTTCTCAGACCATATTTGTTTTGGGTGCAAATCCAAGAACGTCTGCAATGTTCATCTATGCATAAATGGACCAAACTAAGGGACCAAACTAACTACACTCCAAATGAACAAGGTGTGAAAACACAGAGGTTTAGTCTGCGACATAAAACACAGAAGTTCTGTTCTAGTGAACCTTGTGACCTGCTATTCTCGGCACATTCCCGAAAATCTATACCACCTTATAGTACACAGTTTTAGCCAATTTATCCAGGGGCATCAAATGTATCATCAGGGGCATCAAAGATCAGGCAATCCTAGTATTCACTATGGAAAGCTCTGTGAAAATTTTCATCCGAGATTGTGGATTTAGTTCAGGGAAATATATTTTATTTACTACTAAAAAAAATCAATACAAGTATTTAATTTATAGTGCTGGATAAAAACATAGATTTTCCAATTAATGGCAATCTTGATTTCAACAATCCAGATATTAATTTTTAAAAAACCAAGATCAATCTTTTACTCTATGCCTATTTTCAGAAGGCGTATAAAAATGTAGCCTTCACGGATAAAATAACTCCCTCAACTGCATAGTTTAAGTCCTGTTATAAATATATAATTTGATGAAAAATTTCGTAATGTCCCAAGAAAGTTCCCTGTATCCCTGTTGAAACCTATCGCGGCCCGTCCTATGAAATGGACGCAAACATACAACGTGACAAATGTAGTCCAATTCACAAACATATGACCGGTTCCTTTTAGTGAATCAAAAACAAAGCACAACCACTGTAGTGCAATTCTTGAAACAAACAACTCCTTAAATGAAGTTCAAAAAGACAAGTTAGTGATTTTAAAATCACTCTAGGGCTTTTCACACTTTGCTTAACCCCAGATTATCTTTCTGAACACAAGAAACGTTTCAATTCACGGGCGTGAATTGCAAAAAACACATACAAACCATATATTGTTGTAATCTATTGGCTTCATGTTTTATTTGTAGAAGCATTTCTATCTATTCGTTAAGTACGAAGAAAAAACGAGGAAATTTATACGAGATATTTATCAAATTATTTAGGCAAATGCATAAGAGCCTATAATTGGATCATATTTGCAGTGATTATTATGTCTCTAGCATGTTATATGTTTGGCAACAGTTGCACCACTTGACGGAAACAAATTTCGTGATGTTATTTCCATCAAAAGGTGCACCAAATTTTTGGTCAAGATCTTGTATTGACAATACAAGAGTCCAACACTCTGTAAAGTCTCCACCAGCACATCCCAAAGACGTCCAATGAATTTAAGGTCTGGACTCTGTGAAAATGATTCTTCATGCTCCCTCCCACTTTTCTTTCACAATTTGAGCCAGATGCATCTTGACATTGTCTTCCTAGAATATGGGCATGAAATAAAAAGATTCCCACTTTATCAATTAGGGTTAAAATAACTGTAACCAAAAATATAACATGCTAGAAACATTATAATCACAGCTATAATGATCCAAAATACCCAGAAAAATAATTGAAAAAGCAAAGCAAGATAACCCAAGATTCCGTTTCCCAGGGTTTAGAATGATCCAGGGTTAACTATTTCAAGAGTGAAAAGCCCTTCTGAAACGCTTCCCTCTATAATTAACAACATTAGCAGAGAGAATTTTAAAAGTAATGCAAATTGGACATTATAAACATAAAATCAAGAGCTGGTGATTTGCAATCAAAGCAGGAGAACTATAACGATAAAAGCCCAATCCATTTGATGAAAAAACAGACTATTGCACCAAATATTTGCACGCTACTCTATTTACTGTTGTGCTTATTTGAGCAGTGAACGAGAAACTATTGGATTAACTATTGGTGCTTCACATTAGAAGCACACGTGACTAAAAGAGTTCAAATGAGTTTTTATTAAGTTGCCATCTTAGAAGGCAGTTGCTTATGTAGACAGCGACGCAGCTCACTAGGTTTTGGAACAGAGCCAGTGACTCAGCTTTCAATTCATTCCCAACATTAACATATGCAGTAACTGCACTCGCTCTCTTAAAGCCAACTCTGATGTCACCATCCGAAAGGTCACGCTAACCTTCACATTTCCACCAATCAGGTCTGGCGGCTCCTCGTCCGTTTCCAAGGCGACGTTGATGGTGGCGAATGGTCGGCTGGCCATCTGCTGCATTTCTCGCAGGAGTTGCTGAGGAAGAGAAGAGGAAGATTATCCAACAGTGTTACATTCACACACAAACACGCATACGGATCTGTGCGCCGTTAAAGCCGAGATCAATATTAAGGTGAGCGTTGAAACAACACGGCTTGAAAAAGATGCAGGTTGAATTTAAAAGAGGGAAGGCCAGATTGAATAAAGCTTGTGAACACATAAACACATAAAAAGGACCATAAAGAGGAAGTCAAACAAAAGGGAACTCTAATGCATATCTGCACAGCCTTTTTTTTTTTTAGTGTAGAGAGAACAGATCGAACCCAAATCATAATTGATGCCACTCTGTGCTTATATCTCAGTGAAAAAAGGATGCAGATCGAGAGCGAGTGTAGAGAGAACAGATCAAACCTAAATCATAATTGATGCCACTCTATGCTTATATCTCAGTGAAAAAAGGATGCAGACACATAAATTGGCACAAATCATCCAATAAAGGGGGAAAATGAAAAGGTTATATTCAGGTATGAAACCATCCGATAAGTGTAGATATTACAATTTCAAGAGCTTTGCTCAAGTGTTTTTTATTTTATTTTATGATGCATCTTTGAATGTCTGTCAACAAATACGGGTAGACTAATGGCTTGTGACAGAGTCGAACCGGCATCATTCAAGAGGTACACTGTAATTTTGCCTAGTAAGAGAAAATAATATGTTGATCCTGGCTGAAACGACATTCCTGACTGAAAATTTTGTCTTAACACTATCCCTACCGTTAAACATAACCCAACCCTAAAATCAATGGGGAATGAAAGGTGAATAACACTGAAGTAGAACCTAACCCTCGTTGTAAGCCTTAACTGTAAATGTCACTCAAATCTAATTGGTTGATTGCAATGTTGTTCCAGGAACATGTTGTACTTGGTGATGTCAGATTCACCTTCATATGAGCACCGTATCTCCGGAAGAAATCACAATAATATTTTCTAAAAACATACTCAAGTGTCGTTATTGTTCACTAAATTTTTTTTTTTTAAATCATTAGTTGAAAAAGCTGAAATATCATTTTGAAAAAAACATTTAAAGAACAAAACAAGTTTTCATTTGTTCAATGTTCTATTACCCTGCTCTATTTTAGGTCACTGTTTAAATATTTAGTCATGTTTAATGTATTAACGTGTTTTGTATTTACTTGTTCTCAACTGCTATAAAACTAATTTGCCCCCATGAGGGTAAAATTACGTCAACTCAAAAAATGCCAATGTTGCCTTGGTACATGTAGCTAATTGAAATAAAAGGTTTAGGTTGAAGTACTAAAAATATTCAAACTAAGCTGAAAATATAAATAATTAATATAAACACTTACTGTATCAAAATAAAAAAATGAAAATAAAAGCTAATCTACCTACGGTATCTACCTCATTGCCATCCATTCCCATCTACCTGTCCATCCATAAATGCAAATATGGTTTACATACTTGCATATGAAACATTCTTTCTTTCTTATGTTAGTGAAAACACTGTTAAAACACGATTCTTTAAACTACATTTTCACGGTTAGGTTCCTACATTACACATTTTAAATTGAAAGTTTCTGAACATCTCAAATGCTCCCATGGTCTCTGACGTTAATAATGATGACGATAGTAATCTGAATCACTATGTGTGCGAAAAAGACAGATAGAGAGGGATAAAAGCAAAACAAGCTTCTTCCCAGCAAACCACTCAATTAGAAATCCCCATGGTCCAACTGCCATCTCTCTCAGCAGGAACCACAAGTCATTTAATTGGTGTGCGTGTGTGTGTTTGTTGTCTAACTGTCCGTCCATGTTTGAAGTCTCAGCCCAACACACAACAGAAATTCTTATAAAGACAGAGAGAGTGAAAGGGAGAGAGAGACAGAGACAGAGAGAGCAAGCACTCCAGGGAGCCCAGCAACTGTCACACACATACCCACACGGTCCCATTGCAGCACATCAAAGTGCATATTTACTGATGTGTGCTTTAAACTACTGTCAGGAATATAAGGCATATCCAAAGAGACAGAGCAGAGGGGTAACGATGGATGAGGAGAGGGGAGAAAAGAGAGAGATCTTTCAATCAACCTTCAGGAGAGAAGCAGTGCTGAATCAGATGGTGGTGTAGCCATGCTGAATACTGATCTGAGACAGGTTGTATGCTGAAACAAGAGGATGCTCTGATCTCAATCTTCAATGTGTTTCTCCCAGCTAGTCTGGAATGGTGGTTTTGGTCACTTGTCAGCTAGTTTTGCTAAGCAAGACCTTCAGACTGATGGCAGAAGGTCTGGACTCCATGGAAGCTTTCATTGGTCAAGGACTGACTGACATGTAAAGCCATCGATCACAGATTTTTCGTTTAGCGTTATGTTTAGGGGCGTGTGATTGTAAAGTGAATGTCCCTACAATAACAGACTGGCATAAGACATAAGGGCACTGCAACGAGATATCAAATAACATGACCTAACTGTGCCACCGTAGCTTTTTCGAAAGGGAGGGGTGAGCAGTGGGCTGAGCCCTTAGTGCAACTCGCAACCGAACCGCTAGATGTCGCTAAAAATCACACATTGCACCTTTAAACCTCGCGCATCAGACATTTAGCTAAAAATCCTTGGAAATGACGTCTAAAGCACACAAAACTGGAGTTTCAAAGTTTTTTTTCTCTTCTGGAACACATCTCCTGGAAATACAGTAGAATTCAACTAATCAGATGACGACTTTGAAACTCCAGTTTTGTGTGCCTTAGGCCCTGTTTACACGAAAACGCTCAGGGGGTGAAACATAAAAAAAAAAAATTTATCGGATGTGCCTTTCGTTTACACGGCGACGGCGTTTTTGGGGCTTAAAAACGCAAAAAAGTGAAACCACCCTCCAGAGTGGAAATCTTAAAAACGCTCCACCGCCACGTTCCCGTGTAAAGGGTAAAAACGCAAAAGTCTGCTTGACAGTGAAGGTTGTACGCAGGCACGCGGACTTGGTGTTGTTGTGTGGCAGTGCTCCACATTGCCACCTATCCACCTGGAGTGCATACTACATTGAATTTCACACACTTTTGCGTCACGATTTGTACGCGGATTTCCCACCCAAACGCTCGTCTAAACGCAGAATAAAAAGTGATAACGCAACGCGACTTTTGCGTTTTCTCTTCAGAATCGTTTCAGTGTAAACATGGCCTTAGACGTCATTTCCAAGGATTGTTGGCTGAATTTGGCAGATTCCACAGAAAGAACTCTAAATAGGAGCGTGATACTTCCGCAAAAACTATTAAAAAAATAAAATAAAAACATTCACAACAAGTTTGATTATGATGCCTATCATGGACATGGAAAACATCCATCCATCTCTTCACTTTACAATACTGAATAACACCATGTTAAATATGCATTTTGTTGGAGATTAATTGTATATTTAAAATGCTACATGTATAGTTGCATTTTTATGAGAGTCAATAAATGTAATATAATGACTATATTCAAGTAAGTGAATGCATTTAGTCTGTGGTTTTGTTTTACTTTATTATGGTGGGCAAGTTTTAGAGTCGAATTTAGAGTTTAACCCTTATTTGCACAATGCATAGCATAGCCTATAAAGATTCTCTAACTCTTTGAGGAGAACATTGGGCAGGTTGTAATAAAATCCCATTAATTTGACATTAATGACAGATTAATCCATTATCAAAATAATATGTTATAGCCCTAATCTTAACTCCATCCATATGGTTTAAAAACATTTGACATTTATGATGTCTGATGCGTCTCATGAGTTCAGCAATGCGGAGAAATATCAAATCGTCTTCTATCCTCTGATGAAATGACAGCTCCTCTCATGTCTTTTGGCATCGAGGGGCCGCTAAAGTCATTAGTATGACAACTAGTCTAGAATAGATAGAGCAAATATTCACAACACTGTCTGAAATAGATTGATTTCATCACTTGTAAAATGACAGTGGGGACAGTCGGTCCTAAAGATTGGACTTGGAATTGGAAGCACTGTGAACAAAGCCATAGATCGATGGGATGATTGTCAAGAGAAAAGAAAACATGCAACAACAAAAAAAGTATCATTTAGTTGCCTATGAGACTGCCAGTAAAATAATGGCATTGTATGTCTGATTTACTGTATCTAATTGTCTCAGCAACAGGATGAGAAAGTGCAAGAGAGAAAGGCTACAAGTGGGAGGAACATGACAGAGAACAGGAGGGAGCCATCCAACCAACCAGAGATAAACCTGGACCACTGTGAGAGATTAATGCAGGAATATAATCCCCCAAATGAGCCGTAATCCAACTGCCTAATTACTCCCACAAGCCCCTGAGACTACAGATTAGTGGAATTAATATCACTGCCTTGCAGCAGATAGAGATGTGTCTTTTAGCCACAACTCGCATGTTAAACAATTCAGGCGCAGACATATGCATTTTGTTTTTTCAAAAATTTACAACATGCTTTTTGAGGTGGGTTTGATCTAAAACACTGCATTTGACAAACACATTTTCAATAAGGATATAAATAGCAAAGCGTCTACATATGCTACACAGCTAGAAAATGTATCTGTCCTCTTTTTGTACAGAAAAGCAATCTGAAAATCTGTGGTCTGTCGGTCCCCCATTTCAGTTTTTTTTTTTAACCAATGAATCTCCAAGAACAATTACTGAACAAGGATTTAAAAATAAATAAATATTACACTCCCAGAATGTCTAGTCAATTAAATATTTAAGAGATAGAATGTATATTCACTGAAGATTTCCATGCCCTTTCTATTCATTTCTTTTTAAGTTTAAAAACCGCTATTTTAACAATCTCTGACATGCTTTTCATGACCATATGTAGCCTGATATTGTGTGACCCTGATAACTAAAGATATTCACCTGAAATTCACTTTTAGATGACCATTTAAAAACAAATCATGCCTCCAAAAATTATATCTGCCCTGAACACCAAATCACAATGACAATGTGAGAGTACACATGAAAACCATCAGTTCAATTAGCATGTAGTTCATGAAGAAGAACCAAAAAA